CCTTAACCTTGAACTCTAAGGCCTTGTTTTTCATAATGGTACATTCTTATGGTCCTATAGCTTTTTCATTGTCCCATCCTTTTGGACAGCCATTACTCTGACCTTTATATGTTGGTGTTTTCCAGCATTCCATAGCCCCATGGTCTTTTCACATTATACAGTCACCCTAAGCAAGCTCATCTGTGCTTTACATTTCAACCATCACCTGTATGTTCATGTTTCTGACCAGGTCTTTTTCTTGAGCTCTCAAACCCATGGAAGTCAGCTAACTACTGGAAAACTACACTGGGTTGCCCCACATGCATCTCAGACTTAGCATGTCTCAAAGTGAACTGATCATCTTGTTCCCCTGTGATACTGGTAAATGTTCTTTTTAATTGTTCTCCTGATGCCACTCTGTATTCCTTACCACCACAATCAATCAGTTACCAAGTATCCTCAATTCAACTTCCTAAATATTGAATGTTTTACCTCTCAGGGACACTGCCACCACCTTGCTTCAGGCCAGACTCCTGATTTCCTTTTAATTAAAATTGTCTCTCTCTAGTTCAGTTGGTTATAACATCATCCCAATACACAAAGTTTTTTGGTTTGATCCCTGGTCAGGGCACATACAAGAAGCAACCAATGAATGCATAAAATGAATGGAATAAATACCCTGCCTGGTGTGGCTCAATGGATTGAGCACCGGCCTACAAACCAGAAGGTGGCAGGTTCAGTTCCAGGTCAGGGAGTAAGCCTGGGTTGTGGGCCAGATCCCCCATCTGGGGTGAGAGGTAACTGATCAATGTTTCTCTTCCTCTCTTTCTCCCTTTCTTACCCTCTTTCTAAATATAAATAAACAAAATCTTTTTTAAAAATAAACAACAAATCAATGTCTCCTTCTCTCTCAAATACATAAAATCAAATAGTCTCCCTCTAATTAGGCCCCCTACCACTGCAACCAGAGTGATTTTTCTGAAATGCAAATCTAATTGTGTCTCTTGCTGCTTTAAATCCTTCCATGGTTCTCCATTGCTCTCAGGTCTGGAGCTCTGTCATCCTTTGGCCTTTGCCCATCTCTCCAGACTAATCTCTGACCCTCCCTGCCTCACACTTTACAGTTCAGCATTCAATTCTCTGCACAGACCATTCTGTTTTCTACCTCAAGATCACTATCATCATCCCCCTTCATTCAGTGAGGATTTAGAGAGAGGGGAAGGGACTTGTCCAAGGCCACACAGGCAGAAAAAGGTGAGGCCTTGTTTGTTCTAGTCAGAGCCCTCAGTCCAAAGTCAAGCCTATGAGATCAGGCATGTGCAGACACTGCCAGCTGCCCATTCCATCCATTCCCTCCTTTCCCCTGGTAATGGAACTTCAGTTTTATTTGGGGACGCAATGTGCCCGGTTAACAGGATACATCTCAGCTAGGTGAGCTATCTGATTCAGTCTTATGGGATTTCTAGAAGTCTCCTTCAAATGAAATGTGAACCAAGTGACCAGAGGCCCAGCAGTCGGTTTGGGGCATTGGATTACCTTTGAGGATGGAAGCCAGGATTGGAATGGCACTCCAATCACACTGTGATCACACTGTGGTCCAGAGGGGTCATGGTCTCGGTTCATAGGGTGGGAAAATAAACTATGCTGTTAAGTCATGATAGAAGAGCTCTGTTGATACGCAGACAAACCTGGTTCAAAGAATTGGGCTGAATTTCATCCCCCATGATCCCCCAGGGGCCAACTCAGAGAAGAAGCCAGCATGGGTGATATAAAGTGTTTGTTTATTTGAACATCATTCCACCTGTACTGAAGCTCAAATCCAGCAGCAGCAGAAGGGGTCTGGACTGAAATAAGTGTTACCAAATTGGACAATGAACAGTGAGGACACAGTCAGACAGAACTTACTAATGGGGTGTAGACGACACCAAGCTATCCTAACATCACACAGCACAGGCCCTCTGAGGTCTGCTGGTCAGAGCTCTGGGAAGGACTGTGGCTCCCTTGTTCCCTTCTCAGGAAACTGCAATCCCACCCAGAGGCTAGCCCTGAGCCAGGCAGGGGCCTGTGGAAGTTTCTTGTGCTGGGAACAGCCCAGCTTCTCCAGAGAGTCTCCCTTTCTCAGTCCACACTGGAAACTGGAGAAGGGGGATTCCCCCAGGTCCAAGCAGGAATCTCAAGTGAAGGCAAAGGAATCCCCCCCCACAGCCTTGTCTATAAACTCCCAACGTCTTGGATTTTCCAGGCATGAAAAGGATCTTGATTCTACTCATGGTCCTCACACCCTCAGGAAAAGTGTTTTCCTCCATGGGTACTGGTCCCCAAAGAGGAAAGTTTTCGCATCCCAGGGCCCCAGCAGGACTCGACCAACCGGTGCTCTAAACCACATCTAAGATGCAGCCATTTTGGTCTGCCCTGCAAGAGTCCTCAGACCAGGGCAGAGAAAGCAGGGGAGTGCCAGCCCCTCTGACGCAGTCACAGTCAGGGCAGGAGTACCTCAGAAGGCCCACTCAAAGCTCAGCTTTCGGGCCCAAGAGAACAAGACAGTTCTTCTGTCTCCTCCCGAAGCCTACATACCAATGCCTGCCTGGGGTAAGGGCATTCCACAAATGTCCCCTGGCCATTATGGCTTCCTTGCCCCAGGAGCCATCTGGACCACACTTAGGCTTTCCCTGGGGTCCCTGGCTGGAGCATCTGTTATCTGCTCTGTGCCCACCTTTGCAGAAGCCTCAGGGACAGAGCTATGGTTTGGTACCCACTCTAATTTCTTTCCCTTCCCTGTGTTATCCTGGTGTTCCTTCAGCCCACCCAACCCTGCTTCCCTAGCCAACTTCTTTGCCAGGGCAGCAGGTGGCTGAGTAGACTGCCTCCAAAGGAAATTAACCTCCCTCTTCTCTACCACTCACCCACTCCAGTGGCACTAACCTGCTCAGCAATCATCTGGGCTATTCCCTGGATGTGAAGGTGTTGGCTACCTGGACCCCTGTCCTTGGCCTCTGAGGAGGTAGGTTCTAACCTCTCCATGAGACACAGGGGTCTGGCGGCCCCTTGGGTGGTCCCCTCACACAGTGCCCAGAGCAGCTGCTCCCTAATTCCTCAGCATCCTGTTGCCTTCATCATCCTCCTCTTCTTCCCCCTCCATTTCTCCCCACATTCTCGCTCCCACAACCCTTCTCTCCATCTGCCTCCTTCCCTAGACTAATCATTCTTCCATCTTTCCAGTCTCCTGTCCTCCCCCATCCCAGATTCTCTGTCCCTCTGAATGCCCCCTCAGTTCACTCTTCCTCTCTCCTTTCTCCTTCCTCTCTCTGGATCCCCCACCTACTTGCTCTGCCTCTGCCTCTCCATTTCCCTCTCTCCTGTCCCTTCTATTCTTTGTCCCTCCTCTACCTTCTCCCCATTCCCGATCACTTGCTTCAACCCCTCCCTCGCAGCCTTCCAACACTGGGCTTTGGTTTGGACCTGCCCCAGACTCCCTCCCTCTCACAAGGCTCCATGCCCGCCCCCCTTTTCCACCTGGGATCCTGGTGTCCAGCCCCACTGGCTGGGGAAGGTGCCAGCAGGGGGACTGCTGTGCAGGGCTTGGTAGGAGCAGGAGAGGGGGGCCCAGTACTGGGTAGAGCATGGGGGAAGGTGTTTGCCCAGAAGGAGAGGGGTGGAGGTCAGGACTTGGGAAGCTCCAGGTTTCCGGAATCCTACCAGGACCCAGCATCCAATCCCAGTTAGGAGCCAGATAGGAGACTAGGGCATGGGATTTCTAGGGTCTCTCTTGGAAGCCCTCCCTCTCAGGTTCAAGTCCAATGGAAATGGACACAAGGTTGGCAAATACATGGCACTCACTGATTTTCTCCCCTTCTTTGGCTGAGGCCAACATAACAAAATGGTGGGGCCTCAGGCTCCTCTCCAGTGGGCCTGGCAGCCAGGACCCGCAGACAGAAGCAGGCACACACTGGAGGAGGCCGCCTGCCTCCTAAACTAGGGCCTGAAGGGGGCTGTCCACACCCCTGGCCAGATGGCTCTACCGCCAGGTCCATGCGGCAGCGGCAGCGAGGGGAGTCCAGAAACACCTGGAAGTCTCCCTTATTTGCTCCCTGCCAAGTGGGAAGGAGATGCTCCCCACAGTGGGAGGAGAGGGGAGAGATGACTTCCCACATACTTACACAGGCACACACGCTCACACACACACACACACACACACACTCATGCCTCGGCTCCAAGCATTGCCCATTGGGCTGCAAACCCTGGCCATATCCCAAGGCGAGAGGTGGGTAAGGAGGAAGAAGAGGTGGGGACAGGGTTACAAGGCCTGGGGATGGGGACAGGGGGTACCCTGTTCAGAGGTGACCTGCAAGTTCAAGTTATGCAGAAAAGTATCAAAGAGGCAAGATAGTCTCTGCCCTTAATAAATGCCAGGGTCAGGTGGCATGAGACGGGGCAGAGGGGTGATATCTCCCCCAATGCCCCACTGTTAGGCCCCCTCTCCAACCTCCAGCCCTAACAACAGGGCCAAGGAGTCTATGCCGTACAAAACAGGCTGGGGTCAAGGGTCCAGTCAGTGGCGAGACATCCCAGCAGAGAGGCCAGGCAAGCCCCAGCTGCCCAGAGCCCATGTGTCTCCTCCAGTTGCCTCAGAGCCTGTCTGTCTTTTCTCAGACTCTGGGCTGAACAGGGTGCCAGTTGATAGGGAGACCCTGTGCTTTCTCCCTCGGTGCAGCTCAGGCTCCTTTGGGAGAGCTGGGAGCACCCTGGAGCAGGGGCAGAGCCCTGATGAGGCCTGGAGCTCTGTAAAGATGTGATGGAACCATTATAGGCAAAGGAAGAAAGGAAGGAAGAAGGGAAAGGAGGAAGGAAGGAAGGGAGAGAGGGAAGGAGGGAGGGAGGGAGGGAAAAAGGGAGGGAGGGAGGGAAGAAGAAGAAAAGAAAGGGGGGAAAGGAAAGGGAAGGGAAGGGAAGGGAAGGGAAGGGAAGGGAAGGGAAGGGAAGGGAAGGGAAGGGAAGGGAAGGGAAGGGAAGGGAAGGGAAGGGAAGGGAAGGGAAGGGAAGGAAAGAGTTTGGTAGCCCTGGGGCAGTGTCTTGAGTAAGTTTCTGTGGGAGGAGGGACCAGAGGAGGCAAGGATACAGCCAGGCAGCAGCTCCCAGACTGAGAGAGCCTGAGGCACTGGAATCACAGCGCCTCCTTCCCCTGGAGACTGCAGAGCCCCCAGGCCAGATGGGGAGAGGGGAGGAGACCCCAAGGGATGTCCAGCTCCCTTAGGTCAGTTGAGGGAGGGGAACATTCAGGCCTTGCTATGGTCTGCAGGGCCTCTCCCCTCCTCCAGGCCACACCCAGCCCCAACAACTCTTCAAAGTCTGGAGCTGGCAGGTGGGTAGCAGGTGAGAAGTCAGTCCGAGATTGGTATCCTCCCTCCTTAGCTTGAATGGAGGGTGAGAGGCCAAGAGATGGGACACGCAGAGGGCAGGTCAATTCCTGGGCTGTGATCCTGGCCTTCAGGGTCCCTGTGAGTGAGCGACAGGACAGGGAAGGACTCCCCAGCTGGAGACATCACCCCCTGGCCGCAACACGGAGCTTACTGTAGAACTCACAAAATCTAAGAGAGAGAGAGAGAATTGGAGAAAGTCAGAGACCACCAGGGCATTGGAGTTCCCCTCGGCCCATCCTCAGGGCAAAGCTTGGCAGAGGGGTGAGCTCCACAGGCTCTGAAATCCCACCCAGGCCTCTGACCCGCTGGATGGCTTTGAGCCGGCCAGTGGACCTTACTGAGTCCCAACTTCCTCGTCTGCAAGTCAGGCAGAACAACCTCATTCACAAGGTGCTTCTGAGGGCCAGAGAGACACAAAGAATGCCAGTCAAGGACTCAGCACAGTGTTTGGCACATATTACCTGCTGGAAATTACACCAATTTATACTATTTTTTACTTCTGTACCAGAGGTCTTTGGCTTAGAACTGAATTCACTCATTTTAAGCTCTTAGTGAGGGATGGAGATCCCTGGATGCTGATGTCACTTTTAACACTGAGATATTAGGGCGCTTGGGGAGGGAGGAGAGGATGCCAGTGGGGCTACCTCAAGCCAGTCACATCCCAGACCAAATGCCTATAGAAAGGGTAGATGGCTTAGACATGCACTTCTGGATCCTGCCACCAGAGGGCAGGCCCTGACTTCATACCAAGACCACAGAAACCACAGGGGATCAGGGTGTCCAGGGGCAGGAGGCTCAGAACTTAGGTTAGCAGCTAGCAGGCCAGGAAGGCCTGAAAAGGGAGCAGGAGTGGGGAATAGCTTGGCCTTTGGACTTGGAACTGGGCTCAAATTCTGGCTCCACCACTTAGGTGACTTTGGGCAAGTGAGTGAATCTCTCCAGACCTTGACCTTCTCATTTGTAAAATGGTGATCCTGATGCCTGACTGACGAGTCATGAGGAGTGGCTGCCTTTACTGAGCATTCACCACATGCTCATTTACAGGCATAATCTTTCTTCCTTCCTCACAGGACAACTCCATAAGGTAATACATTCTCACCGCACTCATTTTGAGAAGTGCAGGAAACTGAGGCTTAAGGAGATGGTCACTTTTTAGCTCAGCTTGCTTCCAGCACAGACAATCTGCCTTCGCAGTCCAAGGGTTCCACCACAGTACTAAGTACCTCCTGCCAAATGAGACAGTCTCACCACCATGTTCTCTATTTTATAGATGGGAAACTCCAAGAGATAAATATAATTAATGGAAAGTGCTAAACATAGACCCAGCTCATGCTAATAGCTCAAGGAAGAGTGTGACTACAAAAATGACTGTTTCTTGGGGCAGGAAACACACACCTAGACAGACAGGGGTCTGTGCTTTGATGCCATAGTGTCTCCCCTTGCTCAGCGGGCAGGGTGGGACCCTGGGGCAGAAGGCCGACCCTCCCGTGGAGAGCGATCTGGCACTATCATTTCAATGATATGCACAGTTTCACTTCTGGAAAGACACCAAGAAGATACTTGTATATGAAATGACAGAGACAAAGATGTTCATTGTAGCACCGCCAGTAATAGTAAAAGCCTGGAAACCTCACTAATAGCCCCTAAAAGAATGATAAGAAAGTACAGTTCCTTTATTTTATGCAATGCTAAGCACTGGATAAAAAAAGGCAAGACGGTTTTGCATGAAATGATAAAGAGAGATCTTTATCACATGCTCCAAAGTGCAGCACCAAAAGTGATCTGAGGAGGGGTTTGTTTAGGATGATACCGGTCTTATATCATAACAGCTCCTAACGCCACTCTGTTTTGTGAAGAGGCAGATTGGGTTTGAGGACGCACAGGTAAGCATGACAACAGTGGTGACCCTTGAGGCTCTGGTCTTATGTGTAAGTTTTCTTCATTGTATTTGAATGTTACTTGATATATATAATATATAACATATGCAATATACTAGATATAAAGCACAATTCAAGAACTATCCGTCTACCAGTAATTTGTGCCCACCTACCCGTCTGCCATCTCCTGCTCCTGGCTTCCCCATCCACCCCAACATATGCAACCACCATTCTACCGTTTGTATTTCTCATTTCTTTGATTTAAAAAAAGAAACAGTATTACCCTAAATATGTGTATGTTTAAACTACACATTGCTTAGTGATGCTTGGTTTTTGAGCTCAATAAAAATCTCACTGTGTTGGCCCTGGCCACATAGCTCAGTTGGTTAGAGCATCCTTCCCATAGCCAAGGTTGTGGGTTTGATCCCAGACAGGAAATGTACAAGAATCAACAAATGAATGCGTAAGTAAGAGGTACACCAAATTGGAGTTTCTCTCGCTCTCTCTAAAATCAATCAATCAATCAATAAATCTTACCGTGTCAACCTCTGGAATTTGACCTGTCCCCTCCCCAGCCCCAATAGTATGTCTTCAGTGTGCACCCATTCTGTTTCTATAACTGAAGTTGATTCCTTTTCAGTTATGAACTACTCCGTGATGTGAATGCATCACCATTTAGTTATCCATCCTTCTGTGAATGGCCACTAGGATTATTTTTAGTCTTCTAATTTCAAACCGCTGCCAAGAGCATTTTTGCTCATTTCTCATGGGTTTATGCTCACAGGTGGGTTTGCTGGGTCACAGGCACGCAGATGTTTGGCTCTAAGTGATAGGTCAGATTGCTTTCTAGGTGGTCGTACTGTCGGTACCATCCCCAATTTCTGCCTCACTGTTGACTTTGAAATTGCCCTGCCGGGAAAGCGCAGGTCCGACCTCCGCCCCCACCCCCGACCCGGCAGCCGCCCACGGGAAGCGGGAGCGCACGTACCTTTGTTGTCCTGCTTGAGCTCTTCCTGCAGCAGGTCTGTTTGCCGGTTGCCCAGCACGAAGGCTAGGAAGGAGAGGATGAGGGCGTTGAGGATGCCGATGATGGCCAGGATGTACGCCCAGCGCACCGAACAGTCCCCCAGGGAGTACTTCCCGGTCTTGGCCCCGCACATGTCCCGGATCGTCTCGGCGTCCCAGCCGTCGGGGAAGATCATGCAGCCCAGCACGAGGCACAGAGCTGAGGGGGCGCGAGGCCCAGCCCCGCCGCGGTCAGGAAGGAAGAGAGAAGGGGATGATTACTTCCCAGAGCCCGAGGACCCCAGGAACCCTCCTCACTCCGCTCATCAACCCAAGATCTTGTTAACTGATTCCTGTGGGTTCCAGAAACTCTAGGGCTGGGATGACCTACAGCCTCGCAGAGCAGAAGCTTTCCAGAACCCACAATGCCCTCTCGCGCCCCGACCAAAGCAACTCCTCCAGGAAGCCTTCCGGAAATGTGAGAAAATAGCAAATCATGGCCGTATCAAGCATGTTGGCCGTATTTACCCTCTCCTATCTTCATCACTATTTATTTAGATCGTTCACTCAACAACTATTTATTGAGCGCCATTTTTCTTCCCATCAAGATGCTGGAAATGCATTCTCATTCACACAGTTGAGTACTGTGCTCAGAGAACAGACTGGGGTGAGAACTATAGGGTCTGACCCGGCCTCTGTTAATTATTATTATCAAAACTAGTCATACTGATTAAAATAATAACCACAAATAAGGAAATAATTGGGGAGGAGAGGGCTTGGTTTCAGATGAGGGGAGAAGGGGCAAGGCCAAAAGGGGACTCAACGCATTTGAGTCCCAACGGGCCCCGGCTTACTCCCTACTTGGCACCTACTCCCTCTGGGTTTCGTGACCCACTTTGGTCAATTTCTGGGGCTCTTCCCAGTGTTCAGCGTAGTGGGTGGGACTCAAATGTGAGCCAATCAGCACATTGCATTTCTCTGACAACTGATTGGCTCACAGAGGGGGCACACGCCCCACGCGACCAATCAGAACCAAGTAGGCTCCTTAGGCGGAGAGGCTGTGACCTCTGCTCTTGCCCCCGTAGCGCCCTGGCCGGGGGACCTGTGACTGTGCGGTTCCACGGCGCCCTCCTAGTGTCTGCGGGTCCCGCCAGCGGCTGCGCTACTGCGTCTGAGCCCCGAAGGTCCCACACCAGCCCACTGGGTGTTTAACTGGGTATCAGATGACAGCGATGACAAAGTGGGGGGGGTCAGTTCTGCCCACTGTCCATGAGCCCCGTCTAGTCCCCAGGATCAGGAGGGGACCCTCGGCTTTGCCACCTTCCTCCCTAGGTCCCAGGCTCCTGCCTGACAGCGAGGTGAGGCCCTTCTGCCTGTCCCTTTCTCGCTTGGCTTCGGGGGGCCTCGCCCGCCCTCCGTGCGACAGACCGAGTCCCCGCTGCCCCCGGGCTGTGTTCCGCGCGCCCCGCAGGGCCCAGCACAGTACAGCGATCGCGCGGACACTCTCTAGCAGGGCTCCCGCCCCTCCTCGCCGCTGGCCTCCTTCAACAGGACGCTCAGCTCCGGGGGAATACCTGGCCACCTGAGGGCTGGGGAACGCGCTCCTGCAAAGGGAATGGCAAATGCAAAACGGCCTGAGGCGAGGATGAGATGGGCGAGTTAAAGAATTCAACAAGTTAGAAAATGCCCCTTAGACACCCAAAAGGAGAGGGAAGCTGGGGTGCGGGTGGGAGATCAGTGCTGTAGATGTAATTTCGGGAGCTGTGAGCACGCAAATCCCTGGGGCTGGACATCACGGAAACTGGAGAGAAGGCTCAGGACTAAGCCCTGGGATGCTCTGGCAATTAATTGCTCGGCGGGAAAAGAGGAGGAACCTACGGAGAAAGCTTGATCCATCCGTCTCCCCAGACAACCCTGACACTTTGCTCCTATTGGAGTGGGGAAGAGAAACAAACTTCAGGGTGAGGCGGGGCGGGGGGCGGGGATGAGAGGGAAGGGGCGGACTCAGCGCAGCCCTTCACCCTCCGCGGGTGGGTGCGCTCCCGCAGTGCACCCCATCCCTCTCCACCCGCCAGCAAGAGGCAGGAAAGAGGAACGATGCTGGTTGGAGCGCAAACCCAGCCAGCCCCCGGCCTCCTCTCCCACCCTCTCCTCGGGGTGCAGTGTCTCCTCTCCTGCGAGGGAGAGCGTTCCGAGTCGTGAGAGAAACCAATTCAGCTTCCAGAGCTCCCAGCCACGCCGCTGCAGCTCCTGCCGCGGGTCAGAGAGAACCCTCTGCAACCCCGCGCTCCTCTCTCAGCGAGGTTTTCTTCTCTTGGCTCTGAGCCTGCACGTCGTCCTCTCTGTCTCTCTCCCTCTGCCTCTCCCTCTCTCGTTGCGGGTTTCCATTCCTTTCTTTCTCCACCCTTCTCATGTTTCTCTCTGCACCTGTCTCTTCACATCCCCGTGTCCCCTCTCTCAGGCTAGTCTGTATCTTGGGCGAGTCTGTGTCCACCCTCGCGCTTTTCCTCTTCTGTTTAGATCTCCCAGCATTTAACATTTATTCAACACCCCATCTCTCTTCTCTTCCTTCTCTGTATCTGACCCTTGGCCCTTTCCTTTCCCTGGCTTTCCCTTTGCTCACTTCACGTACAAATTCTGAGTTCCAGGCAGGGTGCGCTGCACAGGGTGCTGGGGACACTGGCAGGCATGGTTTCTGGTGTAGGGAGCAGAGGTGTGTGGGGAGGAATAAAATCAAGTGCACACACAGTGCCTGGAAGAAATCAGACTAGGGCTGAGGCCCTGAATATCAGGGTGCTCAGAGGATGCTGGCAGGGGAGCCTCTCCCCATTTCTCGCTCTCTCTGCCTCCTTTGCTCTGCGGGGTTTTAGTCGGTGAGTGTGTGGCCCCAAAGGTTACTCTGGGAGTGGGGAATATCGGAAATCAACTGAATGAAGGAAAGCAAACCCGATGGGTTTCGCTGGACCCCAGGGAAGATAGGAAAAGACCACTACGGACTGCCTAAACCAGGGAAGTGACCAACAGGCTCAACCACCAGGTGATGGAATAACTAGGAGCAAGGCAGCCTTCCCCACCCCCATTTGCTGGATGAGGATGGTAACACTGAGTTCTTTGTGGAGTCCAAGTTCAAGTCTCTTGAAAATAGTCCGCTGGCTGAAGAACTGGCTGCTTCAAGCAAGGCACAGGCACAAATGCAGGGTGCAGCATGGGGTAGGGGCTCTCGGCTGCAGCATTTCTGATGCTTGGCCTGATGATTGTGCATGACAGTCTGTCCTGTGTGTTGTGGGATGTCGAGCATCATCCCTGGGCTCTGTCCACCTCGTGGCAGTGGCACCAGCACTCCCAGTCATAATAAAAACTGCCTGCAGACATTGCCAAATGTCCCCTGGGGGATGGAACTGTCCAAGGTTGGGAACCACTGGTACAGGGGAAGGGGCCCTCGGATGGGGCATGTCTCCCTGCTCCAAGAAGTCAGGGCGTGTGACAAAATTGAGATCAATAATATTAATATTATTAGTAACATGGCCCGCATGGAAAGCAAATAATATTGAGTGCTGAACCATGTGCCAAGGGTCTAAGCTCCCAACATTCATGATTTCATTTAATCTTGTAACAAAATTTATGAGGTGGGAAAAATTATTGTTCTCATTTTACAGATGAGGATACTGAGGCTCAGAAGGACCAAGTTATCATATCCAACATCACACAGTTAGGAAAGGGTGGGATCTGCATTCAAACTGAGGCAGTTCTTTACTTAATGATTTTCTCTGAATGGATTCATTTTCTTAAAGTAGAGGCATTTACTTACAAAGTAAGATTTACACTGTCAAGGAAAAGGAACCAAGATTATTTGCCATAAATAGAAAGAAACTATTTATGAACTATTTATGTAAATATAAGTATAATGAAACCAAAACAATGTTCTTAGATTCTAGCTGCACGCTTTGCCTGCCAAATGCTCTGAGCCTGAGGGCTTCTCCCTCATTTAAAAGTCTTAGCCTGTGTGAAAGGAGTTAAAGACACACGAGCACCAAATGGAGCCTTTTTCCTTGAAGTTATGAAACACGGTCCACCTTGTACTGCCTCAGTAGGAGGCTTATCTCCGTCTCTTTTGTGCACAACTATGGGCAAAATCAGTCCACCTCCCTGGGCCTCAGTTTTTGTCACCTATAAAGTGGAAGTCATGACATCTGCCCTGTTCATTACATAGAGCTTTTGTGAGAATCAAATGACAGAGAAGAGGACTGGCAAATTATTAAGGGTAATGTGGAGGCAGGTCATGGCAACTCTTGGCCAAGTGGGGAAAAATATTGAACAAAAGAGCAGAGTCGTTTTCCAGAAATAAAAGACATGTTAACGGTGACTGCTGAGGGTAGAACCTGAATTTTTACATATAACCATGACATAAACCAATAGTTTACTACAATATCTGTTTAATCCCCTCTTTCTTACCATCAGAGCCCCAATTTTTAGCTGAGAACTTGTCTATTGAAAATAAAGACCATGCCCTGGCTGGGTGGCTCAGTTGGTTGGAGCACTGTCCCATACAGCAAAAGCCTGGGGGTTTGATTCCCAGTCGGGACACACACCTAGGCTGCAGGTTTGGTCCCCAGTGGGGATGCATGTAGGAGGCAACCAATCGATGTTTCTCACATTTATGTATCTCTTCCTTCCTCTCTCTCTAAAATAAATAAACATATTAAAAAATTTTTTGAACCCTTAGAAAAAGGAAAATAAAGACCACATTTTCAAGTCTTATTTGCAGCTGGATAACGAGGCCACGAGACTAAATAAAAATGCCTTCAGATGTGTTATGTATCTGTTATGTGTTATAAAAAGATTTATAAGGATGCTAGAGTGTGCCCTTTGCTGCCCTTTTCTTCATTCATTTCTCCATCCTGCTGACTGGAATGCAGATGTGATGGGTAGGGCCCTAGCAGCCATCTTCAACAATGAGGATAAGGGCTATACTCCAGGAGTGGTGGAGCAGAGCTCTGGAAGGAGCTACTATACCATCTCTGGACCACCTAACTCAGGCACTGGTTTTACAGAAGAGACTAGAACTGAGAGTAATTAAATCACCATTATTTGGGGTTTTCCTACGGCATACAGCCAAGCCTAGTCCTAACTGATATGTTTTTCCTTCTGAATTTTGGTATCATGTGTATGCCTTAGGAAAGAAAATTTTAATTGTGTGTCCTTGGGCAAGTCACTTCACCA